GTTATTGTTTCTAACATTGGAAGTACTGGGAGTTATTGTTTGTAACATGGGATGTACTGGGAATTATTGTTTGTAACATTGGAAGTACTGGGAATTATTGTTTGTAACATTGGAAATACTAAGAATTATTGTTTGTAACATTGGAAGTACTGGGAATTATTGTTTCTAACATTGGAAGTACTGGGAGTTATTGTTTGTAACATGGGATGTACTGGGAGTTATTGTTTGTAACATTGAAAGTACTGGGAATTATTGTTTGTAACATTGGAAGTACTGGGAATTATTGTTTGTAACATAGGAAGTACTAGGAGTTATTGTTTCTAACATTGGAAGTACTGGGAGTTATTGTTTGTAACATGGGATGTACTGGGAGTTATTGTTTATAACATTGGAAGTACTAAGAATTATTGTTTGTAACATTGAAAGTACTGGGAATTGTTGTTTCTAACATTGGAAGTACTGGGAGTTATTGTTTGTAACATGGGATGTACTGGGAATTATTGTTTGTAACATGGGATGTACTGGGAATTATTGTTTGTAACATAGGAAGTACTGGGAGTTATTGTTTCTAACATTGGAAGTACTGGGAGTTATTGTTTGTAACATTGAAAGTACTGGGAGTTATTGTTTGTAACATTGAAAGTACTGGGAGTTATTGTTTCTCTATTTTAAGAAAAAATAACTAAAACTAAAGTATTTATGAGTAAGTAGTAGTAACTTGTATATATATATTCACACACATTGTACACCTATACCACTAAATTCTAACCACCCCGGGAAAGTAACTAACATCCAAATGTCTACCAAGTTTACTAAACATTTTCTTGTGCATTTATAATATGGTGGTTGCAACAAGAATTGTCTAAACAAGCTGCTACATCCTCACCCACTGTGTTCTTGGAGCCAGGATTTGGGTAAACTCTGTGGGACAGTTATTGTACAAGCTTACCTGCTATCATCAGTGTTGTTAAACAGTTTGAGGCACTGGAGTGATCATTTATTGCTTTATGATCAGCAGGTTTGAACCACTAACACTGAGATAAACACAGTAAACAGATGTGACAAGTTTAAAAGTTGAAGTACTCTGGAACTTTATAGCCCATACTAAAGGGAATAAACTCACTTTATTTCACATTTTTCAGTCTTGAAAGTTTTATGAGGTTGGTAAAATTGTTCAATCCTGTATAGAGTTAGGGTAAAGAAACTAACAGATAACAAATAACAAATAATATAAAGTTTTTCTGCAAAAAAAAAATTCATTTGAGGTTTATTTAGGAGGTTTTAAAGATTATGCAAATGAAATTTGAAAATTTTCAGATGAAGAAAAGTACTTTTTAATCTTAACGTGAAAATCACTTTGCACTCAGAGCAGTCAACACTCCGACTCCATATACTCACAGACAAATTTTCAGTAAAAATACCTAATTAAAAATTCTGCTCTTTTGTCTACAAAAGACTTGTAATGTTTATTGAAAGCTTTTTGAAAAATTTTGTTAAGATACACAAAACATGTTACAAATTATAGTATGGAAACTATGATGGTTACTTTGGGGTCACAAGGTCAGTATAAACTATTCAGTCAGTCCAGAAAGAGTTAAATGTTGCTTACATGAAAAATTTGGTCTTTTGATACAACTTAAGTAAAAGTTATTGTATTAGAAATAAAACACACACCACATAAAATATAAACCACAAGTGAACTGTTATGGCAGAATAAATATAAAATATATGCTAACACTAACAATTCTAATGTTAAAAATGTAGCACTGGTGCAATTATACACTACCCAACCCTATAGCACATATTTGATTAATCAACAATATTGACAAAAATGTTAACTGTAACTTTGCTTTTATTGTTGAAGGTCAATATTTACCAAACTATTAGAGTTAATATTTTGCTATTTATTAAGTATGTTTAATTAATCAAGTTTTATGTTCAAAACACTATGACTGTTAATCTGCTTGGAATGGAGACTGTTAAATAATGCTTTGTTTAAGTCAGTTGCAGTTCTTTTAATTGGCCACAATAGGGTGCTCTTACACTGCAAGCTTACAGTTGCTTTCTCTGTCTTTGTTATGGTACCAAGTTTATCAACCACTTTAATTTCCAACT